CGCAGCCTCCTCGGCCTCCGGGCCTCCTGCCTGGGCGAGGCCTTCGGGCCCACCACAGCCTGGGCCTCCCGGGCCTGGCCCAGGAGCACTGACCCGCTGGGCTGGGGCACCGCTCACACTGGCCCCCGGGGCCTCTGCCAGTCCTATGCTGGCAGGGGCATGCCCACATCCCTGCACCCCCAATGCCTTGTCAGCCTCTGCCCTGCCTCCACCCCGAGCCCCTTCCTCGGCCTGGGCCCTCTCATTCCTGAATAGAGTGGCCTCCCACGACTCGGATTCCCGGACCAGGCCCAGCATCTCCAGGAAGCTGGGCGCCCTGCCAACCAGCCTCAGTTTCCGCAGCGCTTCGTCCAGCGGCTCGATGAGGGTGGCCTTGGTGAGCACCTGCCTCAGGCGCAAGTGGTCGGCCGCGGCTCTGGCCAGGGCCCCCTTCTCTATGGCTTTCTGCAGCAGGACCTCCAGCCGCAGCACGAAGGCAGACAGGCGCTCGCCCCGCTTCTGCTCAGCAGTCAGACACCTCAGCCGCGTGACGGCCTCGCACTCGGTGTCCCCAAACACCTGGGCCATCGCGGCCAGGCACTCCTGCGCCGTGCGAGCAGGGTTCTCAGCCAGGAGCCCGCGCACCAGCTGCAGGGCGGTGCCGCGCAGGCCCTCAAGCAGCCGCCGCCGCCGCTCCCTCTCCGAGACCGCCTGCCACACGTGCAGCATGTCGCTGGCGTGGTCCAGCCAGGCCTCGAAGGGCTCCTCTCCCGGGCCCGGCTCTTGGCGCCCGGAGAACACGCCCAGGGGCTGGTAGCGCACGGTCTCCACCCAGGGCCGGACCGCCTGGCTGACTGAGCGCAGCCAGCACACGCGCCGCAGCCCCAGCCCCAGGGCGCCAGCCACGCTCTCCACCGTCTGGCCCTGCTGCTCGAGGAAGTGGAACACGCGGCCCAGGACCTCCTCGCCCGAGCAGCGGGGCACGCACACCACGCGCCAGGGCCCCCCGCTGCCCGGAACCTCCCGGGGCACCAGCGCGTAGTCCACCTCCTGGGCCAGCTCCACCAGGGCCGCCGTGGCGTTCTCCTCCTCGCGAAACACCCGCCCAAGCACGGAGAAGCGGCCCAGAGGCCACAGCGCGGCCTCCAGGACCTCGTGCACCTCCGTCTCCTCGCAGTCCTCCGGGATGCCGAGCACCAGCAGGCCCTTGCGCGCGCTCACGCCCATCCACCGGCACCAGTCGCGCAGCATCGCCACCGCCATGGCGCCTGGCGCGCCTCGGGTCCCGCCGCGGAGCAAGCCTGGGAATGAGATCGGGAGAGCAGATCAGTGCCGCCTCCCCCGCCCCCCGCCTCCTTATGCCCTACGCAGCCGCCGCGTCCCCCGAGGGCGGAGGGCGCGGGGCTGCCCCAGCCGGAGCCCCCCTCTTCCTTCTCGTACCTTCTCTGGTCCGCTGCTTTCCTGGCAGGAGGGGCGTGGACGCGGAGCAGGCGCGCTCTGGCTCCGTCTGGCTGTGTTCCCCGCCCGTTCGCCGTGCCCTGCGCCCTCCTGGGGCTCCGGCCGCCTGCAGCGCGGCACGTGGCCCTAGCGCCTGCTGGCTGTGGACTCCGCAGTGCGGACGCGGGGCGGGGGCGCGGCAATGGCGGCTGCGGAGCGCAGACCCCCCCACGTTGCCCTGGAGACCGCTGGGCCATTGGTGCGCGCAGGTCACGTGTTGGAGTTGTTGCTGCTACCCCTGCAACCAAGGGGCCCTGGACTGCGTGTGACGTCACCGGCCCCCTCCTGCAGGGGGCGCTGGCCCAGTCGGGGGCCTCCCCAGGCCTGGCCTGGCTTGGGTCCACTGTCACCCTAGATATCCCATGGGGCCCAAGCATAGCCGGGGAATCGCATCCCTGGGTGCCCTGGGAGGGCACCCACCGGCACTGGGCTCTCTGGGGTGCTGTTGGAGCTTGGGTGTTGGAGGTAGTGCCCCTACCCCAGCCTGGCCTGGCCTTCCCTTCCCTTCCCTTCCCTTCCCTTCCTAGTCATCCCTACCCAGGTGTCCTCCTGTTGCTGTGACAGGCCAGGGGTACCTGGAGCAGGCGGACTTCAGTGGAGCAGAAATCCCCACAGAGAGTGTGCGCACCTCAGGTGCTTGCCCCAGCCATGTGGGTAACAGGCCCAGGTCACCCTGTACTCTTTTCCCTTGCTAGCAGATGTGTTCTGGGCATACCCTTTTGGTTGCTTGGGTTAGGGTGGGTGTCACACCTTCCAGAGACCATCTCGCCATAGCTCAGCCTTCCCTATGGGAGGCAATGCCATAGTCCAGAGGCGCTGTGTGTGTGATGAGCTTCTCTGAGTCTGGGGGAGAAGGTTTCGCAGTGTTGCGGACCAGTGTGTGTGACAGTAGTAGGTCAGTGCTCAAGGAGAACTGGTAGCAACGAGGGCAGATGAGTTTCTTTTTGACCCTGACCCTCAACAGCCCGTCTGCCACTGCCCGTTTCCCTCCTGCTCGCTGCTTTTAGTTCCTCAGGTCTCGCTTCCTGGCCCTAGGCTCCTGGGTACTCAGGTTAGCTCATTCCCTCCGACCTGCCATCCGTCCCTGAGGTGGCTGCTCTTACCTGCTAGACAGGAATTCCTCTGCTTCTGCCAGGCTGACCCACTGGCCCCAGGTGTCCCACCCGTCCCTCATCCTCTCAGACACGGGTGGCTTCTTCAGGGCTAAAATAGCCCTTCTGAGCAACACCCCGAGATGCCTCTCAGGTTCCTTACTGGAGCTGCTTCTGGGCTGGGTAAATATGAGCAAGCAAAATCAAACCAACAAACCTGTTGCTGTCCATCTGATTCCAGCTCATTGGTAGCCCATGTGCCCCAGAGCACGATTGTGCCATGGGGTTTTCTTGGCTATAATCCTTAAGGGAGCAGATAGCCAGATCTTTCTTCCATAGCATCACTGGGCAGATTTGAACTGCGAACTTTTCGGTTAGTCACTGAGAGGAAATAGGAGCAGTGCTTAGTAGTTTCATTAACCTTTTTAAAAGCGTATATCTATTTTGATCGTGGTGAAAACATCTACACCTCCATATTCACTGACATAACACCTCCCACACCAACAACTCAAAGCCATTGATGACATTTTGCACGTGGTGCCGCCGTTATCGCCATCCTTTTCTGAAACATTCCACCACCATTAGCATAACACAGTGCCCCTCAAACTGAAACAAAAGCTTCCCCTTAACCCTAACTCCTACCCCTGGTGACCACTTTGCTATATATATTTAATCTATCTAACAATTTCCCCACCCCTCCCCTCCCATCCCTGGTAACCAACAAAGACAATTTCTTTCCATATATAAACCTTTCCTGGACTTTTTATAATGTTGGACTAATACAATATTTGTCCTTCTGTGATTGACTTATTTCACTCAGCATAATGTCCTCCAAGTTCA